AACATCTGTAGCACGCTGCATGCACACAACCACTTAGAGCCTAACAACACTAAGACAAAACGAGACGACCAAAAAAACTAGGACCGCATAACATGACGAACCTCAGTGCGAGCAGGGGAAAAAATGAGTGTTGGCCTCATCAGCCAACGACGCTTCTTCCCCTTCCCGCTCTGTCTCCTCGTACCCCCTCGCGTGCCGGATGTCGAACTCCTCCTCCCTCATGATGATGAAGGAGTCTGCGCAGCGCGCCGTCTGGCTGCACCTTTCGGTGGGGGAGGTGGGGGCTCGTGCTCGTCGTGGTCGTAGTCACCATTGGAACCTCTCTCGCTCTCCTCCTCTCCCTCCTCCTCGCCCTCATAGTCCTCGTCCTCCTCCCGCACTGTCACATCTGTCTCAGGAGCATCCTCCTCGATGGTGACAGCGGCTCCTGCCTTCCTCAACACAACAACCCTCGCACTAGCCTCTGTAACCGTCTGCTCACGGCGCGATCCACGAGGCATCCCCAACCCCTCTGCCCCCGAAGTCTCTCCAAGTGCATCTCCTCCCTCTGCGGGCACGGGGCGTGGACGAGGAGGCACTCCGTGCTTGCGTGGAGTCTGCTCATGTACGGCACGCGTCGCTGCCATCAAAGCGTACTCCAAGCTATCGTCGGACACTCCTCTGTCGCAACCTCGCTGAGGCTCACAACCTGATGCTGCCACCTCCCTCGCGGCGGTCATCCTGCGGTCGCGGGGTCCCAAACCCGGCTGTAGACGTGCAGTGTGCTCCGTGACACGGCGGGTGGAATCCAAATCTATGTCTGTCCTCCCGAACAACGTTGTGTCACTCACGTCCCCCACAATGGCTGTAGTGTCCCGAATCCTAGACCTCCCAGGCGTGTGTGGAGATCTAGAGCCTCTACCTGTGGGTGACGATGACGGATCACCTACAGGTGGTCTAGGAGGAGGGGGTGGCATGTCTCGTGTACGTGGGGCCGTCTCCACGACGCCACCTTAAACCCCTAGAACATCTCCCGCCATACGTGCTCCAGTGGAGGTAGACCCAGACCACGCCGGCGATGCAGGACCCCATGGAACTGGAGGGATCGCCTGCCATGGTGGATGCTGTAGCCTCTGGTCAAAGACCCGCTGGTCCAAGCGAGTCACATCGCGGACAGCCTCTCTCGCCAACTCGTCTGCATCCAAAGGACGACGGACCTCCTGTGAAGCAAAGTGACTAGGAAGACACGGTGGCGCAACCACCGGCTCGGACCCCAAATCCGTGATAACGAGCGGCGACACACCATGCACTGCCACCGGCACCGGCTGTGACTGTCAGCCCTGAGCCAAGTGCAGGCCTGAGAACGGAACGACTAGACCCGTCGTTGTCTCCCGGACCAAACATCGTGTGTCACCCACACCCTCGTCTCGCCGCCGTCCTGCCTGCACAGCCTCATCCACCGCCTGTTGCAAGCCCTCCACATGAACATCCGCTGCCGATCGCCCACCTTGCACAGCCTTTGCGTCCGCCCGAGCCACCACTCTCTCCACAATGTCCTCCCCCGCC